CGAATTAAGATACAAATGACATTGTCACCTCACAAAAAAACGCTTTTAAAATAACAGATTTTATAATTTTGCGCACTTGTATATGTTAAACTGAAAAAGCGGTTTGGGTATAAAAAGTTCTTAAAACCATTTCGTTGAGGAATTAAATATTCAAGTCTTTTTTCAGGTGACATGCAGTTGGAATACAGACAGAGATAAATATAAATATGAATAAAATACAAATATGATAAGTCTGAAAAAAGGACTTACCTGTTAGCTAGTGCTGCTGTGCAGCAGAGGCTCTGTGGAAGGGGGTTCAATGGGGGTTTAAGGGGGGTTCAATGCATGGCAGAAAGTTGCAAAGTTGCAGGGGCTGAAAAACGAACGCCCATAAATGATTAATGGCTAAAGTTGCATTCGCATTTTGATGGCCCAAACACTTTTCATAATTTCAAGCGCTCGAAATTAGTCAGCTCTTTTTGGTCAGGATGCATCCTTCCTTTCCCCTTACCCTTCCCCTCATTCCCTCTTTTTCAAATGCACATTAATGGCCATTTATAACAATTTTTGGCTGCCAGCTCTCCAAACATTCCAACAACTGCCATTGCAAATGAAGTGTAAAGGAGATAGTTTCAGAAGGGGTTCTGTGGACTCGGTGGCTTTGGTTCTCGCACAAAATTAGAATCGGAATGGAATGAATGCAGTGCTCTACTCTACTCTTCGTTTCTCATCTCAAGTTGCCAAGCAGGACCGACATGAGCCAATTTACATAACCCAGAACAACAAATAGTTACAAATTGAAAACTTTTGTCTGCCAAGATTGTAAGCGATTGTCTAGCTTTCCTATACCATTGCCATTGCCATCCTTCCCCGGGTCTCTAGTCACCAGTCTCCAGTGTTGCCATTGTTATAATCAAAGTGGTAGCTGAATAACAAGAAAAACAGCAAATGCGGCTGACAGCAACAGCAACAGCAAAAGCAACAGCGACAGCGAACGAATGAAAGAGATACGCTCGCCGAGATACGAAAGAGCAATGTGTACGAGATTGGATGATGGCAGCCAGAACGAAAAAGTATCGACAAGTTTGACGCTTTATGGCATTGTTTAGTGCCGCACATTTCGCCAAAAAACGTTTTTCAACTTTCACACAATTGCGCCATTTGTGCCGCGTCTTCAGGGTAGTGGAGGGGCTATATCTATACTATGGCCATAGAAATAGCTATAGATTTACCCATGGCAGTACCCCCTCCTCCCCAAAGAAAACGCGGGGCGGAACAGTCGACACAAATCTGCTGACGGAAGCCCCGGTTGGCCCACCAGTGCTTTTTATACGGAAAACGTGCAGAAAGTTTGAGTGCCAGCTTAGGAGCTGCTGGCAAAAAGTTATAAAACAGTAGATAATAAAATAATAAAATATATGTATTTGAATTGTAACCGACGCGTCCATACACACACATAAAGTTTTTCTTTCAGGCGATAAAATTACATGTCAAATTGAATGTAACCTGCTATTTGTGCGCATTATGGTGGCTATAATTAAACCCCGATGGCTGGAGGGAAATCGCCACACGATGGCTGGTCAATCATGGGTTTATGGGTGATGGCTTAAACTTTCTGCAGTGAAACGGAAATGGGAATCGAAATTGCCATCGGATCTGTGGATCTGGATCTGTGGGGAAATGAGTTCCGGCGCCTGGCGGATGACCTCAGTTTTGAGTATGGGCTAACAAACCATTTTGGTGGATAATACTTATATGGTATATGGAAGAGTCTGGGGGCTCTGCTATCATGAGTTATGTCTGCACCACTCTGCTCCGCGAAAATATTATTTAAATATTACTTTTCACCAATGTGGGCCCCGAAATCCTATAAATCAAACGAAAGTCTCCGACTGAAAGAGATCCCAGATAGAAAAGTTTCGAGGCGCAACTTTCGGGCGAAGAACAACAAGGCAGACGCCTCATATAGATTCGCAAGAATTGGGCAAACTTTAGAGGATTGCGATTTGTTTTCCGTTGAAAATGGGGGAAATGGAAAATTGAAAATGAAAATGAGAACCTGACGACTGAGGGGTAAAGTCACCTCGTTATTTCCACATCCCCCTCTCCCTCACGAATTTCGAAATTTGGGAATCCCTGAGTGCTTGGCTAAGCCGAATCAATGCGATTTTTATGCTAATACAATCAATCGGTCTAATCGAATCAAACGTTTTGACAACCCAACGGCCTCAAATGGAGCGTTTTGGAGCTTGTCCCACTCGGTGTCCCAGCTTTTGTCTCTTTGCCGACGAATAAACTATCGCTGGGACAACAAGTACGCAATATGCATAAAACTTTATATGGCATTTAAATCGCTCCTGGGGTTGGTTATCACCCCTTCACCGCCCCTTTATGGCATCTGCCCCTGGTTAAATCCCCCCCAACCCCACACGAAATCCCATCCCATTTGGCTGCTTACTTCGCCTGTTAACTCAAGCGTCACAAATGCCGGAAATCGAATACAATTTGTAATTCTGATGAACAGTTGAGCAAAACTTAAGCATCGTCTGTACCGCCTGCTGTTGCTGTTTCTGTTGTTACTGTTGTTACTTTTACCCGTAACGCTTGTTACTCCTCCTATGACCATGGCCATTGTTGATTCTGCTGGTGATTCCGATTCTTATTGTCCTGGCTTTCCTCTTCCTGCAACTACTTTTGGCATATTTAGCCCGGCTTTCACCTTGCTTTCGCCTGACTTTCTTTATCCTCCTTGCAAACTCGTCCCGCCTCTCTTACTGTTACTGTAGCTGTATCTGTAGCTCTCCATTCGGCTTGGTTTCCATTTCGTTATCGAGTCCTCGGCAATCGCCATGTAATGCCAAATTGGGCGACATCGTTTTATGTTTTGTTTTTGCCTTCGCCCATGGAATCGAGCAGGATTCAAGCAAGGAAGAGGATGGTGGGGAGGTGTCTACAGGTTCACTCATCAGTTGGCGCTCTGTTAAATTTCGCACACGTAGCAGCATAAAAATTGACACCGATAATTCGAGTCCCAGTGTGTGAGTCTGTGTGTGTGTAGTCAGCGGTACGTATACGCGATATAAACACGCACACGCCCCGAAAACATACATCATGTCGGAAAATTTGTCGGTCGCCAGCGGGTACAGGTGAGGGGAGCGGGGGGACAGGATGCGGGGTGGAGTGGTAGCTACAGTGGGGGCGATATGTCGCGTCGCTGTTTACACAAACAAAGTTATCAATTTTACACACGACAGTCGCTTCACAAGCTCCACATCCCATTCTCCCCCTCAGTACATCATTCCCCAGCGGAAGGGCTTCCCAAAGTGGTTGGGATAAGGAAAGAGGAAGAGGAAAAGGGGGCCAAGGTACGAGCAGCATTTCCATCAATTCAGTATGCAATCAATGTCCAAATCGAAGACGCAAAGCGGCGAAACCCCTCAGTCATAACAAATACAGGCGAGCTTCCATACTGAAAACTTCCCTGAAGCTAAATTCAGACGCAAAGAAAATATTTCTTACTTACAATAAAATTTTAAATGTAATACGAGTAGCTTAAAACATATTTTCTTGAACTTATATTTTAAAGTTTAATGCTTTAAGCAGTAAAAGTTAGGAAAGTATGACTGTTGGCGAGACAAAACTTTGCTTTCCACTCAAGAAGTCCCATCGAAAGTGATCCTCTTCAAAGGCTTTTCGGCGGAATATTGAATTCAACATTTTAAAGCACACTTTTCGGGGCGCCCTGCAACAGATCAAAAGTAATCGTGGCCCACACGAACCACACTTTAAGCCCGCCCGACATTCTTGCAACAATTTCTCCCCTATATATAGTAAACATTTTTCATAATTCTGCACTCTTCCCGCCCGCCCTACTGAAAGCCAGCGATGAAAACAGAATTCACTTAGGGCTAAGAGAGATGGATGAGGGGCTGGAAAAAATGTCGCCGCTTGTTAAATTTAAGGAATGTTTGGCTTGTTAGTGTAAAATAATATGAGCGACGTGGGTGGGAGGGTCCCTGCTTACTTAGGAGGCGCCCGCTCAGTCTGTTGTCTATTTGATTTGGCCAGGACATGCTAAAACGGGAGTAGGTGAAGTCGGAGCAGTCGAAGAAGCACACGCCGGAGAAAGAATTCCACTCAAATTGCATTTATTGGAGAAATATTTATAATAACTTGGAAATTCAATTTCCAAAGAAAATATGCTAAACGGATTTGAGGGGGGAGTGCAGCCATCGAAGGGGAGGACTTTCCGAGGTGAGGATGTCAGACTGCGTGTGTGTGTGTAGGTATTCCAGTGGCTTGTGTCGTGTCAATGGCTCGTGTGTGTCGCCTGTCTGTGTGCGTGGAGAGATATGTTAGAAAATTAAAATCGACCATATGTTGCCTCATCGATTTTGATAAGTCGCCTGGCAGCACAGCACAAGCACACAGCCACATCGGGCGGCAGGAGGAGCAGAAGGAGGGGCAACAGCAACAGAAACAGCAACAGCACCATGGCCGCTTCATATCCGTTTCCGGTTTGACACAATGGGCGCACAAAGCGCGGCATTGTGTATGTTTCCCCCGTGCGAGTGTGTGGGTGTCTGTCGCTGCCACTTTCAATTGCAAAATAAAAAGAGCTGGCTGCAAAAAGGCGCCTTGTCATGCATGAGTTTTCTGCCTTTTATTATTGATGTTGTTTTGTGTGTTATTATTTGCTGGTGTTCCATTGTTGCTCCTTTCCTTTTTTTTCGGAGGCCGATCTGTGACACAAATCAAACGCACCCTGCTAAATATTTCATAAGCACATTCAGCCACGCACCGCCAATGAACTTTAAGGACATGCAGGACAGGAGCTGGGACAGGACCTTAACCCTCCGATGGCCCCTGGCTTACCATTCAATTTGGCTCCAATAAATGTTGCTGCAACATGTTGCTGCTGCGCCGGCGCCTTTCTGCCTCGGCTGCTCCCGCTGCTCCTGGAGATTTGCATATTGTTGGAGGTTTCGCAGGAGCAGCTCCGTTCAGTTGTTTACCGCGCCTCAAGCCACACACACGCAGCGAGCGCAAGGGAAAACCGGAAACGTGGGAACGCGTTACAACCCGTGAACAGTGAACCGTGACTTCCCGTGACTTCCCGTGACCCGTCGTGAAGCGGGAAACGTGACTCGTCGTGTGCCTGCTCGGCTGGCTTTCGTATCTGGCGTCTCAATCGGAATTGGAATTGGAATCGCGTCATTGGAGTGACTGATTTCGAGTTGCGTGCTGGTGTCAGGCAGCGGGGATGAGTGCTCCTTACGTAGCAGTAGCGTAAGGGCCGTTACGTAAGGATTAAAGGACCTCTCCGACCCCGCGGAAAACGGACACAAACGCAGCGCGCTCGAATGCGTTACGTTGCGCATGAGATGGCGGCACGCAGTTCGCGCTACATTTACTCTGACCACGGCCACCGAATCTAGTCCGCTCTTAGGAAAAGGTAGCAGAAGAGGAAGCCCCCCCTTAACCCGCACGCCCCTGTCGAATATAATTAAGTGTATTATCGGAACGTGACCAGAGCGAAATTGCTGCCTGCGGGCGAGGCAAATGCTCCTCTGCTTTTCCTCTTCCGCCGGCCAGAAGCAATTGAATGGACAGCTTAGTGTGTAATGAAGAAATTACCAAAAGCTCGAATCCAGCCACCCCCACTCCTCGCTATATCCTATCCTAACGACCCCCCCTCCTCCCGCAAGGACATCTTCATCTCGTTGTTGTCCTGTGGGCGTCATGGTGATTGAAAACTCGACCGCATTGCGGTCTTGTCATCAGTTTAAATGAATGTGCTGCGGTTTCCGGCGCTCCGATAAGACGGAGCCCTGAGCCTAATCCCTTTCAGTTATTGTTTCTGCACAGTTGTGGGCTCAAAAGTGGGCGGGGCTGCGGACGAGTGTCCTTCATCTTCGTCTTCATCTTCATCTTTTGTGTGTGCGGCTGCCTTTCGAGTCGAAAACGAAGGGAAACGAAACGAAAGGAGTCGAGTTGAATTGAGTCGAGTTCCGCGATTGCCATCATTTATTTTAATTACTTTTCTGTTGTCGCCCTTCTTCTCTTCACTCCTGCCCTTTGCCAATGGTCCTTCGTCCTGGACCTTCATCCTGCAGTTATAAGTAATTCGAGAGCCCCACAAATTGCGCATGAAATGTTGGTGGAATACTTTATGGCGCTGCTCGTGATCATGGGATTAACCGCACCAGTCGACAAGCAGAGCCGGCGCAGCAGCCAATACTTCGGTTTCGGTGAGTACGGATTTAAATCTAATCAGACCAAAGACAACACTCAAAGGGTTAAGCCGACCGGGGGCTGGGCAATCGCATCAGAAATGGCATAATAAATGAAAACGCCAAGGCGGATGGTATTGGAAATCGGAAATGGGGATTGCGAAGCAATTCTAATTAGATTGAGGGATATGGCGGGGATTATACTAGGCCACTGATCTCAAAATGGCAGCAGGGACAATAGCTCCCTCTCTAAAGCAGTGTTTATTTTTACCTTCTTATCTTGTGTCCTCGAAAAATTCATTAAAGCACAATTATTGAAAATCTAAAAACCGAAATGGCTTATCCCTTTAAACTTGTATCAATTTATTTGGGATTTAAGTGCTCAAGTCCTGGGATGCCCTTTAGAAAATCAAGCAACTTCTTCAGCTGAATATAGCTATAATATATTAAATTATCTTTCACTGTTTAACTTTAAAGATGCTTAGTTACACGAAAAATAAATAACACTTGTAAAATAAATTACAAGAATAATATTTAAAAAATCCGGTTTAAGATAAAAGCTATCAATCAAAATATAAGCTCACATTTTTCAAAGCATTAACTAAATTCGAATATTTAAAAAAGTGTCTAAAAGGTGTTTTTGCCATCTCTTAAATGAAACCTATGCTTTTACTATTTTAATATTAAAAAAAAAAACATTCTACAAATTTAATCACACTTATGGAAAGTTACTTTTACCCAATGGTTTTTTTCTAAACATGCGGTTTTATTAAAAAGTTCGTGATGTGTATGTATTCAATTAAACACCCCGAACTTTTAATGTAGTTGAGGGAAAAAGTTAAATTCCAATTTGTTTCGTAGCAGAAAAATGTGCATTAGCCCAACAGGGAGCACAGTCCCTAATGGATAACTGATCTCTAAAGGGGATCTGAATTTGGTAATCTCCACATCCAACTGTCCGGAATTGTTTATGCTCCCATCTATTTCGCATCTCTCAACGGCGAGTGTGAGTTTGAAACAGGGCGACCAGGAGCAGCTGCAATTGCTCATTTGTAATTTATGGCACCTGAACTCAGTTTAGGGCTCGCTTGGGGGACTGCAACTCGGGAGGGTGGTTCACTGAGGTTCAGGGGAGGCGTTAGCGGTGGCCACTGAAGCTGCGGTTGCGGTTCGACCCGGCAATTTTCCAACTTACCACCCCCCACTTTGTATGTAAATACGCAACTTTTATTAAAAATTTTTATGTTGTTACATATTCCCTGTCGGTGCGAGGGAATGTGTGTGTGGGCGGGAGTTTTTTATTTTGTGGCCAGCATAAAAAGCAATTTCAGGCTGAAGTGCTTGGCCTGGCCAAAAGCGAAAGCGAAACCATAAGCATCGACATAGCCATCGGCTGTGGAGCAACAGTTTCAATTAAGTGTTTAACGTCATTTTATTGCTTGATATTTGATAGCTAAATTTGCCCAACCATAGTGGCCCACGCACACAATGAATCCTGGCCTATAAATCAATATGTGTTTATCCACTCCATAACCATATATCCACATATCCACACATCCACTTATCCACATATCCACAACCAATCGTAGTACCAGTCCCTCTCCATTTTCCATGCACAGCTGTATTTGTGTTTGTATTTGTTTAGGCACTCATGGATTATTAGCGCATTAGTTGGCTAATACATCGCAATGGCAGAGCAGCACCACCAATAGCACCACCCACATAAATCACTTGGCCGCCCAGGCGATGGATCATAAACGTGGCAATGGTTCCTCTGGGGAAAGGGGTGCATGCTTAAGCTCGGGCATAAATTAAGCACAAATACTCGTTAATCAAATGAATGCTGATTTTCCGCCAGCTGAGGCATCCCCACCAGCGGATTGAGCCGCCCAATCGACCATCCATCTGTCCGTCCATCTGTCTGTCTGCATATCTATCTATCTATCTATCTATCTATCTATCTATCTAGCTGTCTGTCTGACTGTCTATCTATCCGACGCTTCCTGTGTCCATCTATCTGTCTGCCTCCCGAGGCTCAGGCCCTGGAATGCACTTGAATACGTTTAGCTTTAGATTGACGTTCAGATACAGCTGTTTGAATGAACCACCCCGGGGATGTTTAATGGGCAGGTCGGATTTCTAGTCTGCTGAAATGGGAACCCTTAATGTGCAATACAGATATCTGTATAAACAAGAAATGGTCTGGGGCTACAGTAAACAATTTGGTACTGATTGTGTCTTGAAAAGGGAATTAGGGTCTTAAAAGTTAATCTTTTAATCATATTAGACTTATTAATTTTTTACATCTTATTAAATTTAATTATATAAACCTTAGGTCACCTGGCCGCCGCCGAGGAACTGTCCAATCTGATACCAGATAATTACGATGCCCTCGATCCCATATTCGACAACTCCACGGATCGGGAGATCATCGCCGCTCTGGGCACCACCGCCCGTCTCCACTGCCGCGTCCGTCACCTGGGCGACAGGGCAGTGTCCTGGATCCGGCAGAGGGACCTCCACATCCTGACCATCGGCATCATGACCTACACCAATGATCAGCGCTTTCTGGCGCGGCACATCGACAACTCCGACGAGTGGGTGCTCAAGATCGTTTCGGTGCAGCCGAGGGATGCGGGCGTCTACGAGTGCCAGGTGTCCACGGAGCCCAAGATCAGTCTAGCCTATAAGCTGGTCGTTGTGAGTGAGTATCTTCTGGTGGGAGGGGTATCAGGGTTTAGTGGGCGAAAAAGAAATAGGATTTATGATCTAAATAAAAGTAACATTCTTAAATTCGCATCTACTGGTATTATTTTTGAAAAAGTACCTTAAAGCTCTCTTAAATATAATTAGAAGGGTTACTTCACTTATTCCCACTATACAAATTAAATCCGATTAAAATATAATGTTCCCATATACAAGCCCAATTAGCGTTCCTCCTTCCTGTGCCATCATAATTATTAAGTAGAAATTCCGCCCAACTGCCAGCTCCATTACCCCGCATTGAATCTCAATCGATTGGCGGTCTTGTAAGCCCATGTAGACGTTGTTTACAACTCCGTTTAGACAGCAGCCCGAGGGTGCAAAGAGCTGGGATTACTTTGACAAATTAGTTTATCAAACACCCCAGAACATCACACGATAGACGGGGGATGGGGGATTGGGGTTGGGAAAGGGAACCCAATGGGCAACTTGTTGACATACCCATTAATCGAAATCCGGCCCTGCTCTTTGACAGCCTCCAAGGCCCAGATCCTGGCCAACCGCGAGCTGTTCATCCAGAGTGGCAGCGACATCAATCTGACGTGCATCGCTCCTCAGGCTCCGGGACCCTACACGCACATGCTGTGGCACAAGGACACGGAGCTGGTGAGCGACTCCTCGCGCGGCGGCATCCGCGTGGTGTCCGAGCAGCAGATGAAGACCAGCAACCTGGTGATATCGCGGGTCCTGCACACGGACTCCGGCAACTACACGTGCTCCGCGGACAACTCGAGTGAGTAGCCTATAAGTGCATCCTGGATACTTGCATCCTTGCATCCCTTGCAAGTTAATACGGAAAATGAAATTCAAATCCAATTAACCCTTGGTGAATCTGTCAGTTTTGCAACACACAAATTTAATTTCATTAAATACTTAATTACTTTTTAAACATGTCACTAACTGACACTTATTAAATATTTATATATGTGCGCATGACTAACGAAAAGTAGTTGCATATATAAACAACATAAATTAACCATCATAAATTGAAAATTTAAGTAATTCAATTGCTATTATGTAGGTACCTATTTATTTATATTGTGCCCGGCTGCAACGAGGCCTTGAGCTAACAATTGATTATTAGATTTTTAAATTGTTTTCAGCTCATAAATAATTTTATTTAAATACCCCAAAGTGATTTAAAGTAAATGTAAAATGACAACTTATAATATTCATTTGAAAAGTGCTCACCAAATTTACGACATCGGTTACAATTAAATTATTTATTTAAGTTGGCTAGAATTGTAAATTTATAAAATGATCATTGGTTAAAATTAAATAAATATCTCAGAGACATATTCTTGTTTTTCAGTTGTTTGTCAATTTGCGAAGAATTATTGCATTTGAAAAATTCACAAGGCAATATCGAAATAGAATATTTTTTGATATTATATTGAAAGATATATGTCTGCTTAAAAATTCTTTTCATTAATCTATTATATCTCGTTGATCCTTAAATTTTTTTCTAAAGCTCGATTGAATTACTAAACGTGAAGTAGTATGATTAATACATTCAACTGATTAACTTAAAACCATTTTTTTTATAGAACAAGCTAGTTCAAATATTTAAATATCTACCTTAAGGAGTAATGATTTTATAATATTTTTCCAATCCTCCAACCCTCTTTCCTCTTCTTGCCAACAGATTCTGACAGCGTCTTTGTGCATATCATTAAGAGTGAGCAGCACGCGGCCATGCAGCACGAACTGGGGTCGAGGCTGGATCTGCCCCCCCTGCCCCTGCTGCTCCTGGCGGTCCTCCTGGTCGTCCTGCTGGCCCCCTCCCCCCTCGTCCCCCGCGCACCCCTCTAAGCCGAGCCAAAGTCGAGCGGCAACTTATGTTCGATGTCTGGGATCCCGGGAGCCGGGTAAGTCGGTGATTTTTAATGCCGCCATCAGCTCAGGAGTCGTAGTCATCATCTCGTTACAGGCCACGCCCCCCGTTACAGCCACCGCCCATGGAAGCGCAAACGCCCCCCGGAGAAAATGCTGGATGGAGGTTAACGACGTCGATGTCGCGTTGTCTTGTAAATATGTAAATCGAGTTTTTGTTTATGTTTGTGTTTTGTGGCTCAGTCTCTAAGTATTTTTATACGTAATTAAGTAAATAGGTCGAGAGTGCATATGTGGCCGTACATACATATGCGTAGCCATCTAGCATATAGCGAATATGTCAGATACATTATGTGCACACGATCGCATACCTAGAGATACCAGAAATCGAATCCGAAACAAAATCGAATCGAATCGAATCCGTAACGAATGTAAATAAATGTTTAATCTTAATAATAGATAGGCGAGATCTAGATTAATTATGATGAATCGTGGGCAATTTAATTTGCCCGCCGCCCAGTGATTGATGGTGATATGAGTGCGACCTGCCTCGCCCTCTGGCCGATTCGATTCCGGCTTTGACATCCCGGGCCTCGGATTATGGCGCTTAATTGCCAGGGGCGGGGTCGGGGTCGGGGTTCGAGCGGTAATTGAAAAACGATAAGGTCAGGTCGGGTCATCAGTGTATATGGGTTCCTGACCGCCTGGCCTCTGGGCTTCGACACGAGGTAACTTCAAAGGCGGAACGAAACACTTTCGATTTTTTTGGGGAGCGTCGACAGGTGTGCCTGGAGCAGGGTAATTGAAACATTTGAAGCGTACATAATTCACACTCCTCGCCGGCAATTACAGCTGAAGTTCTCGGACAAAGTTTCGGGCCACAATGGGGATAGCTCTGGAGTAAGTACACCTGAATGCAGGGGACTCGGTGACAATTGCGGCATCTTCAAAGGCGCCGCAAAGCAGACGAAAGCAGCACACCCAATGAGTAATGGCCGGAGAATGGTAAAGAGGAGGAATAAGGACTCGCAAGGAAGGAACAAGCCGCATAACGCATCTCCTTATTGCCAAGTGTTCGCTGAATTTTGCATAAGGTGGTGGTAATTGAAATAAAAGACGTTCCCAGCCGCTAATGGGTCTGCACGCAAGGACTGCCAGCTCCTCCTGGCCCAACTCCCCGCAACCGCAAAGTCCCCTTGAGCTTTCGCTGGGAAAAAGAAAGGAAAGGCAGCACCAAAGTAGGCGAGTAGCATCCATCACAATCCGGCGAAAGGAGAGGGTTTAAACCGGGGTAAAAGGGGGGTGTACATGGGCGTAAGCATGTCGCTCCTTCTTTACCCCCTGGTATTTCGAAAATCTTTGGGGAATCTTACGCATCTGAAACACGCGCTGCCTGACAGTCGCAGTCACCAGTACCAGTCACCAGTCCCTAGTCCTTCCCTTCCCATCCCAGTCCCTCCTCGGATTCCGGAACATAACCCCTTGGAAGGACGCTTCTCGGGTTCGGCTCAATGAATTGCAAGAGGGTCCGAGGGCCGAGAGCCGAGGACCGGATGAGGGATCCTTGGACCTTGGGTTGTGGTGTTGCTGCCGTTGCTTCACCTTCACTCATAAATTGTACAACGAGAAATAAATCAAACCCAGCCTCGACTCCGAACGATGCTGCTGCCTCTGCTGCTCTGCTGCCTGAGACGCTGTCAGTAACAAATCATGCTCAGGGCTGCAGCCCAGTAGGAGCCACATTCACTGGCAGGCAGACCCGTAGTCGTATTCGCAGTCCTTTGCGTACTCGGAGCTATATCCGTAGCCTTTGGCGCTGCCTTAACCGGAGCCATTGCTTGTAGACTTGTTTACGGGCTTAATACGCCGCGCCGGGCAACAACAGCAAAGGCTGGAGAAAAGCCCCAGGATTGTATTGCGACTGCCAAGTACCCACCTCCTGGGCGTACGTTGTTTAACTTAATCAATTTAGTGTTTAGTTGTTTTGAAAATATAGTATTCTTCATAAATTAGCTAGTTAGAAGATTCTTTTTATTTAAATGGAAAACTAACGAAAAGTAAGTAAATGTTTGGCAAGTCCTAAGCAAACTTCACTCTAAAAAACTGACATTTCGGTTTTTTGGAAAAGACTGGAAAAATAATGGTTATGATACAATTTCGTTGTACTTAAAATAAAATATAAAATCGATTGGAATTTACCAATATTTTAATATAAATGTCATATTTCTTATCTAAAAGTGTAGTGGTTTAGAAACTATGGACAAATCCTCCGGTCTCCGTTAGGCTAATTTTCCAACTGTTATTTTTTCACTTTCACTTGAATTTCTCCTAAGCCAATAAACTTCTGAAAAGTTGTAGTATAAAAATTGGAAAGTTATATAAAATACCTTTCGATCGGCATATCACCCCTTTCGATCAGACTATCGTAGTAGTTTTATTTCTGTGGCTATACTCAGAAGACTCCTCGCGCACTCTCCCGGTGCATTTCGTCACTACGTGGACTACAGTCCACAGTGATATTTTGGCCAATATCTAAAATTTCATTACCTTACCTCAAACTGGCCAAATCCAATAATACCGTTTCGGCACTGAATCAATCACTGCTGGAGTCCTTTGTCAAAAGATTCATCGACTCGCCATAACAAAGCCAAATAAAGACCTGCATTTATGGTTGTCACGTAGAGACACCTTTCAACTCACATATGCTCTGCAGGCCACCAGTTCATATTCTTCCTCTGATTTAATTAAGTTAGAAGGCTGCACAAGGCAAATTCACATATGAATGCGAATGAAATAAAATACCTCGGGCGATCTTTTACACAATTTGGCTATGACCTTAATAGGCTGGATCTAATTTCGCTAAGAGTGTTTTTAGTTTCATAAAGAAAACAGAAACTGATCAATTATGATTAATTGAAGTTTGCCAGGCTATAAATAAACCATTTCAGCGCTGTCAAAGTTTTGCGAAAGCGGAAAACAACACGCCGCCTTATGCTGCGAGGTAGCAGGTAGAAAAAGTGCGTATACGTCCTGTTGGCTGCCTGTCTTCTCTTGGTGTGTGTGCGTCATCAGCAGCAGAGACAGTAAAGGGCGTAGGGGAAAGGGGCGGGGCAGGGAGGAGCCTAGAATCAACAGCAGGAGCAGACTCGGAACCAGAATCATCGGCGGGCGGAAGTGCGGAAGTGCTGGCTGTGCGAACACGACGACTACAACGACAACAGGGACAGGCTGATGGGACAAAGGAGGGAGCGGGACAGCCTCTGGAGCGACAAGGACAGAGTGTTGAGAAACTACGGGGCGTAGACGCGCCGGAAAACATTTAATTACTAATGAGTTTTTCATGCTGCATCTCTGCATGTAAGGGGGAAAAACGCTTTAAAAACGTGGCAGAAAGAGGCGCGGAACTAGGGATTTTTAATTTGCTAATTAGCTAGATAACAGCAGAGCCCTAAATTTGATTGATTGGCGGGGAGTAGGGACAACAATCAATTATTTAGCCAGCATTTAGCAATTGATTATCAGGTATTAGGACCTGACAACCCGTAGAAAGCGGAATGGGCCCATCCCTGAGCTCTTCATCCAGCTGGCATGCATAACTTATGACCGACCGACCGAACGAGAGAGAGACTAAGACACACAGGGAAGTTTGTCCGAAACAATGACATCTCTCGACAGCATTTAAAAGGCCTTAGTCATCGTTAGTCCCGACTTGCTAGTGCCATCCGCCCGGAATAAACAGGGGGAAAAAGTTTTATCTTCGATATAATATTATTGGGGCATAACTCTGTCGGTCATAAATCAAATTAGAAGCCCGTTGACACTTGGAAACACATAAGAAATGCAAAAGATTTTATTAAATATACAACCGATGGATGGAGCCGCAGAGACAGAAGAGCAAGAAACTAGAGCAAACGGCAGAGTAATTGAATTATCAAATACCCAGCACCTCATCGGAGCAACCGAAGGCCGGGCCAATCGATATACCCCTTTCCGCATCGAAACGAGGGTATCTCCCGGGGCCTAGGAAAACATTTATCATGCGATTTAAGTTGGCCACGACTTTTGCACAAGAGAGATTTAAGTGATTTGCTGACTGGCTTTAAAATCAAAGTGCGGATAATGAATGGCCCGGCTGGTTGGTTGGTTGGTTGGTTGGCTGGTCGGGTTGGTACTTTCGGTCCTCCAGTTGGTCTAGTGGCCTGGCTCTATTTGATTTAGCCAGCCCGAATTGTTTGTTTTCGGCTCAATTTAAGTTTTGTGGCAGTGCACAAAAGTGCAAAGTGCAAAGTGGCAGGCATTTTGCGGCAATTGCTACAGAATGGCATCGAATCACAGGGCCCGAGGCTGTCATTCCTCGCATGCGACACGCGATTGTGCCCGCTAACTGCTTTTCTGGGTCCCAGAACTTGGGAGCTGGAGTTCCGGAGGAGCTGGTGTCGGACCATGTAGTTTAATCTGCAAACAAAATCGTTTGATCCATATCATCAAAGCGGATGAGGATGTGGATTGGGGGAGTGGGGCAGGTCAGATGAGGTGGAAACGGAGTGTAACTGACAAAGCGGGGCCAAAAAGCAACTGCACGGAGCACTCGCTCCTTACAATTGCCCCCCGGTAAGAGGTTAATTTCCCCCAGGAAGCGCCCCAATGGCTCAATGGCCTTAAAGCAGAAATAGCGTCGGCTAAGTAAACTCTCACATTAACACAAAGCCAATCCCGATCCCGAACCCAAACCCGAACGCGGACCAAAAAACCAGTTAGGACGTCGTCTATGCGCGGCGGTCCAACAGACCATCAGATACCCGGTATTCTGCATTTCCTCTTCTTTTGGGGAAGAGGACTAATTAGAAATCAGATGGATGAACCAAAAAAGAAACAGCAAAAGTAGAAATATAAAAAGGAAGCAATTACTTTAGTAGTAGTACTAAGTAGATTACTACTAAAGTATTAGATGGCAATTTGCATAGTTGGTCGTTCTCCATAAATTTAATTAAATATTTATTTGTTTTGTTTTAAATTATTGAGATAATAATAATCTATTTCATTTGTTTCTGTGAATTTTTCTTAAAATTTTACTTCCTCTTATTTATTCTTTAAAACTCGTTCAATTTACTTAGATATTTTATTTGTTATTTCCTCACCATTCAGAAACCTGTTTGTTTAAATCATATTTTTACAGCTCGTTTTAGGCGTCATACTCTCAACTTGAAAGACCTTTCAGCCCAACCATTAGTAATCTTATTTACGATGGCGAGTCTACCCTAAAGATTTACGCATACTGGGTACAAAAAGGCGAATTCTGTGCGGGCCCACCTGCTTGGCAGGCCTCCAGTTGCAGCCTCTGCCTTCTCTGCTCTTTGCGGCTGGCAAGCCGAACAATGTGAAATTACCGCCCTGAAATACGGACACCCGCTGAGATTTTATAG